ACGTCAAGCGTAAAGTTTTTGGCGGGAAACTATATCCTTGCATAAGTAGCGCCTGAGCCAATAAAGAATAAAGCAAAAAAACTGCTACCACTGTTACAAAACACCAGATTTCAAGATGATATTTGCAAAAGAGATAATATTAGGGACAGAAATGAGAAGAAAAAATATTCTATTAATGGTTTTGGTTAGAAGAAGGCATCGCTTCCAACTGCAGCCGTGTAAAAACAAAAGTTTGGAACAATGATAAATGAGTAAATCAATAATTGTTCTTGAAATCTTTACTATAACTGGCAAAACACAATAAAACAATTCTTTTAAAATAAATTTAAAATACATGATTTATGATTAATTTAAATTGATGTTTATCAGTTTATACAACGAATTTTAATAAAAAAATTTTAAAGAAAAAAACATACGAAAGATTAAATAAGAATGTAGAAAAAATTGAAGAGAAAGAAACAAAATAAATTTTAACAAACGTTAAGTATTATATGAATATAATATTAAATGTACCTTTTCTTTAATTTTTTATCTTGCATTATTAAGTTTCAAAGCAAAAATATTAAAAACACGTTTTACAAAATGATAAAATATGGTAATTGTATTACAATTAATAAAGTACCTAAAATAACAAGAATTCTAAATAATTATACAAAATTAAAAGCAATCAGAGAATATTTATAATTTTTAATGTGGCGCCATGGCTTAGTTGGTTAAAGCGCCTGTCTAGTAAACAGGAGATCGCGAGTTCGAATCTCGCTGGTGCCTAGAAATGGTTGTTTTTACCTAAACCAACAACGGTGGTTTTTTATGCAAAAGATAGATCAAAATATTAAAATTGATAAAGAGAATCCAGTGCTTCTCTAATACAATCGTTTACTTTTGGAAATGAAAAAAATTTATTCAAGAGAATTTTTTCTTAACATTGTATTAACATTTCAATTATATAAAGCACAATAAGTGCAATATTAATTTACCTAATACAAGTATTCAAAATAGCTTCGAATACTATCATATCATACTACGCGGCGCCATGGCTTAGTTGGTTAAAGCGCCTGTCTAGTAAACAGGAGATCGCGAGTTCGAATCTCGCTGGTGCCTAGCGACCTTTTGCATGATAGCTACGTGGATTAGCTAATAAAGAGCAGTAAAAAAAAAAAAAAACTTATTTTCATATGAGTTTAAAAAAAATTATAATTCAGTGTACGCTTTTTCATTGCAGTGTATAAAATACGAATTTCAGTTATTTGGTTGTATTCAATTTTCAAAATATTTTTTTTTTTTAAAGTCCTGTAAAATTCAGTCTTTAGATTCATGGGATCAATATGTGACGTGCAATATGTAACGTTATTAAGATAAAAATGTTTTCTGGAAAATACATGAACATTTCAATATTAATTTTCTCCCACTAAGGTCCCCATTTCGTTTTATCTCAAAGAAATGAAAAGTTGAATTAACTCTTAATTAAGCATTTATTTGCTACTGCCAAGCAAAAGTTACGCGTAAGAGATTCAATCTTTAAAATACATTAATAGTGTCCTTAAATGTTTATAATATTTATTTAAATTTCAATATTTTTTCGAGATATTGAATGATTGATCGAAATATTTTTACGTATTGCTTCACGTTTAATTAGCATCTCTTTTAAAATAATTTTTTTTTCATGAGCATTACAAAGACAAATTATAATAATAATCCATAGATATTACAGAAATAAAAAAATTTCTCCATGTAATACAGAAATCAAGAAGAAAAAAATACTTTTTTTAAATTAATGCTGCTACTATAATATTTTACTCGATGCGGTTATGGTATTTTCAATTAATTCAAAATAACTTGCTCTCTTTTAAATGGTTCATGCATAATTTATTTTTTATTTTATTATTTATCATTTTATATTTTCCTGTTTCGAAAACAAAAGTAAGTTTGGGTCATGTGAATGTAATTTTTAAAAGATTTGCGAATTCGATAATAATTATCTATAACATATGTTCAGGACTACTTTTTTAAAACTTGAACACTTTACATTTAATTATTTCAATGATACTGCGTGTATTTAAAAATAAACGTATAATAAATAATCAAACTAAAACGGATTTATTGTAATTTTACACCAACAATAATTCGATAAGAGTTTAATTAAGATAAGAGTACATTAAGTTTGATATTTTTAATTGTAAAATTTATAAATCTTCATGTTAACAATAATGTTAAAAAAAAATTTTTTTTGTCATCATTCTAACTCTCCGATTTATTTTCTAATGTTGTTTTTAGAAAGGTAAAATATTCTGATTTTATGTGTTATGTGTTTTTCTTATCATCATCAACGTCGTCATGTTCTGTGAAAGTTGGGGGTTTGTGGCGTTGACATTTTCCCCTCTTTGTAAATTATTTATAAAATATACTGAGCATAACAGTAAACTTTTCTCTTACATCTAGCAAAATCAGAAACGTTTTATTTTCTTTTTCGGAAACAGTAGACTTGAGATACAAATTTAATCGTCCCAAATTAGATTCATCTCATCTTCTTCTTTAAAAAAATTTTTCAGTTAGAAAAATATAATACCATGAAGTGTCTAAAGCCGACAGTCCTTTAATATTTTCATGTCGTAATACTTTAGTTTTTTAAGTCCGAGAATACTTAAAAAAGTTTTTTTTAATAAGATTTTTAATTACAATACTGTTACATTACTGCAGACAGAATTAATATATTTTTCAAAAAAAAAAAAAAAAAAAAAAAAAAAAAAAAAAAAAAAAAAAAAAAAAAAANCGTAGACGATTAGAAAGTTTTACCATTTTTAAAATTCTTTTACGTACCTTTAAAAATTAATATTAGTTCTCTTTTAAGTACTCCCTACCATATGCATATAGCGGGTCATTGAAACTTTTTCATTGAATTAAATTCGATACATTACAGCAAATGTAAAAAACTTTAACAACTCACAAAATCAAAGTAAAAAAAAACTTTTAATTACATAGACAATTGGATAAAATATATATTATTCTCTTAAAATTAATTTCATTCGATTTTAAACTGGACTTATAAAATGGGGTTCATATTTTTAAGTTATAAGACTACTTAAACATTCCCCAGCAGAAAATATACCTTTTCAAAATATAAAAAGAATGAAGCAAAGGATTGGAAGGCTTTATCTATTTTTTAAATTTAAATAATAAAGGATTTTTTCGACCAAAATGTTCGTTGCAATTTTTTCCCTGTTCAAGGATTGCATTTTTATAGAATTAATCAACACTTAACATGTTACGTGACAGTTGTAAGCACGTGCGCTGATAATTATGCTTTACGGAAGACTGCCTACTCGCCAAGGATAGGATGCAGGAAAATTAGAATAGCACTCCCTCGTCTTAATTTGTGCGGACGTTAAATATTAGATAAATACTTTTCACTCACTGCCTTTTTTTTATTGCTAAGTGAATTAAAGCAAAAGATACATATTTCTATACGTATTTTGTTTTCGAATCTAAGATAAGACGTAGCATAGATTAGACATTAATTCTTACATTAGAAAGATTGTTTTACAGATAGACTGATTTATAAATATTAATTTAAGATTGCATTAATCAATCTACTACTTTAAGTATGCAATCTTAAATTAGTTTATTGTACTACATATATCTACAAATATATAGAGCATTAAAGACAAAAAGGATAAGAAAAAGAGAGAAAAACGAAGAAAAATAATGAGTTTTATTAACTTATTTATTAATTATTTTAACTATCTAGTTTATTATCATTGTAGTGATGTTTAATTTACCATAACATAATAATTTTTAATTGGTGCATTGAAATGAATATAAAAATAACCTATAATGCGATGATGAATGATAAACTATGGCACATAAAGGATGAATGATATTATCTATAGTATTTTTGTTTAATTCCTCCCTATTGATTTGGCTTAAATAAATTCTTTGTGCTCGAAAACAAGCCAAATCGCGGACGTGATATTTCACTACGTAATTACTGACTCTTTTTGTTGTTTTTGTATTTAAATGTTTTTATTAATATTTTTAAACATTTGGTTTTAAAAGCAATGATATAATGATAAAATTACAATTACGTACCTTTAAATTTGTACATTCAAACTTGTCCAATGTATCACAAATATTTAAGTGGTAAATATTAAATGATTTACCTCTGATTGAGCTTCAGTATCAATAACTATCTTTTTTAATAGTGGAATCGTTAATAAAGTTTAAATTTACTTAAAAATATTTTTAAATAGTTCGAATTAGCAAACAAAAATGCATACCTTAAAATTACTATTAGCTTGACTATTTGAGATAAATATTTAATTCGCAACTAATTATTAAAATTTATAATTTGATTTAGTAAAAGGAAGTGACCGTATTCTTAAAATTAAGTTTACTGATTTCTTTTAAGTAACAATTTATTTAATTCATAACTATATATTTTATTTTATATTTATAGCAGGCGTAGAACAGCCGACGTAACTCTGAGTTTACGATTATCCATAATTAACTCCGCAGTCTTGTGATTTTGAACCCAACGCAGAAGACATGGGAACTCCTGGATCAAGCATTGGGATAAACTAGCTTTCGAGGAGAACTTAATGATTGGACTAGCCCACATTTGCGTTACATGCGGAAGAAAACTTCCCACGTTTAGCTTGACGGCAAGAGGTGATCCGTCTACCACTGAGGATATTTTGCGTCGGCACTGTGATCTGTGTGAACCGGGAGCGAAATTCGTATCAACCAGCCAACGTAAGGATTAGAACCTGAATCACTTCATTGGGAGACTAACGCTCAATCCCCTGAGCTCCATAACTGAATATTAAACTAATAATAATAATTCGACACAGTAAACAATAACTAATCAAATATTTCGATACGATATAGATTTAAAAAATATAGCCTTTGAACTATGCGTTTTAATAGTTGCTAATCATGCTTAACTTTTGTGTAACTAACTATAATACATTTAAATAAATAGTTAAATAATGCAAATGGCTAACCTGTGATTTTATGTTGAGAAGAGGCGCCTGCGCCAGTTTTTTTCTTCTTTTGAGTAGTAGGTCCTGCTTTATGAATCTCTTCAACAATCGGTTCCACAGGAGCTTGTTGGACTCTTTCCTCCCGGTTCGATTCCGGTGCTGTTGATTGCTTTTTACTGCTGGATGATTTGTTGGCAAACACGGGTTCCCATTGATACCTTCCTGCCAGCGGTGTTTCCGTCAGGAAATCAAAGTTCCAGCGCTCCGTGTCTCTTTTTCTAATTTCTTCTTGCATCTTTTTCAAGAACACTGCCGGACCTACCGGATTTGGATCGCTAGTTTCAAACAACTTTCGACACACTCGTCTGTTTACATCACTACCAAAATTACGTCGCATCGCGTCGCGATTTAGTAAGAGCACTTGCGCAGTGCACATAGCTCCACCTCCAACAACAATAAATAGATGACTTTCCAAATAAAACCGAATAGAAAAATGGCTAAATAGAACAATTCAGTGGAAGAGCCTTGCTGAAAAATAATACACGGCAGCGATAAAACGCGTTTTCACCTCAACGCTGTTTTTTTTCCCCCCGAATAAAGATCGGAGGAGAAAATAACAAGAGCTGCAAGAGTACAAGGTTTAGGAGAAATTCACGGAGCTCCTTGATCGAACGTCTTCTCTCGACGAAGCTGGCTACGGTAATAATTGCGGGGAAACTTTTGAAAACTTTTCAGATACTCCCTCCTCGATAACGTAACCGCTTTTTTTCCCCCCGTACATCTCCTCCCTCATTGCCTTCCCCCTGGCATCCTCCCCCGAATTTCGTTTATTTCAGCTTGTCGCAGCTCCTGTTATATGGTTGTATTGTTGTGGCTCTTAGTGTTGGCGTGGCTTTTGGCGACAGCTTGCGTCATTTAAGCCAACTCGAGAAATATCTGAAAAAAGAAGGGGATTAAGTATGAAGTCGTTATAATTTTTTGGAATATTTTTTTATATTGTTTTCCTTTTTTTTTTATCTCGATGCAACAATTCTAAGAGAATTTCCACAGTACATTTTTGCGTTAATATCCAATAGATTTAATTTCTGTTTAAATGAAATGCCTTTCCACAATTCGGGTGAAAAGCAGTATCATGATATTTAAATTTTTTTGGTGAGAAATTTTAGAATTTCGTGAGAATACGAATTATTAAAAAAATTATCAAATAAATAATCAATAAATGAAAATTATAAAAAGAGATTGTGGAATGATAGATATTTTTCAAGAATTATTTTCGATGTTATTTTCACGTAAACAACAGCAACGGAAATTTTGCTACTTACAAAATTTTATATCGACTCTTTTACACACGTTTATTGAACATTTTAACACGTTGAAAGCTTAAGAAAAACTGTTGACATAGTAAGTTACAGCCTTTCAATTTTAAAACTGTTTATAAAGTGAAAAATTGAATCATGCAATGCAATGCATGGAGCATGGAGTATTTCCATGCTGTGTTCAATGCGTGGAGATACGAACCTTTTTAAGTAAGCCACATTTCTGTTGTGTTATTTTTCCTCCTTTATTTAAGTTAAAATTACTGTGAAACTATTTCCTCACTAAATCTGAAATATTGACAGCATCACATTCCCCTAAAAGCATGTATACAAACGCTAGTAAAAATATATTGGCTAATTTATCTAAATTTATGCTTATCTTTCTATTCAATAAAGTTATTCGATAAAGCTGCCTTCTACAACATTTTGGAGTTTATCGATTTTGAAAATTTACAGAATTATGTTTAGCATGTTTATGTACTTGTAAACCAAAAAGGTAAGGCATATGACTGGCCCTTTAATAAAAATAATAATAATAAATAATGTAAACCTGTTCTCTCATTTCAATATTACTGTACAACAGCCTTAAGTGTTTTCAAATTATTATATTTTTATACAAACGCAGGAGAAAAATAATTTTAAACATGATTTTCTTTTCCAATAACTGTAAAAACTACTTTTGTTTAAACTATAGCTAAAACTGCATGTTTCATGCATATTTTTATAAAAAAAAACTTTATTTGCAGTCTGTTAATTATATTTTCAATATTTACATTTTAGTTTGTTATAAATTCTAACATTTAACAGTGGTTTGAGATACGAGAAAGAAATCTATTGTTCCAGCTGTTATATTTTCTTACGTTGATTAACACTAACAAGAGAATGGCACCCATTAGTTTGTTCTTTGAACTTTGCACTTTACTTAGAACAAAGTTAGTGCGTGATAACAACAACTGAAGACATTTTATCTAATTGGAAAACAAAAGGAACTGCTGATAAAAATAAACTTAGGAAATTATTTTTCAAATCTGCAATAATATAAAACACATTCAAATAATTTTTTTACTTAATTCAAAACTAAAATTTCTGCAATGATACATTCTTTAGAATTAGAAACATGTATATTTCTGAATCTCCACTTAATTTTCGTTTCTTAATTAAAGCGATTAAATTATTAAAGTTTCTCAATTAGCAAAAAAATTGCGATTAAGATAGAACATTTTTGTCACAAGAAAAACTTAATTTCTTAAATTAAATATTTCCGTTTAGAAACTTAAATATTTAGAACTGTAAACAACTCTATTTTATCTATTCTTTGAAAATAATAGACGCAATTATAATCCAAGTATGTATAACTCACACTTGAAAACATTGAATGTTTTGACTTCCAGCCAAACAGTTAATGAAAATAAGTAAACTTTTTTAAAGGGATAAATTCTTTGCATATTAAATACTGTTTTAACCGGAATGATTAACTATTGTTTGAAAATAAAAAATGTTATAAAATAATACTTTATAAATAAATTAATTATTAATTTATAAATATATTAATATGAATAAATTAATTAAAGCATTAATAAATATGTTAATCATAAATAAATTAATTATTAATTTAAAATTAATAATTATAAATTTATAAATAAATTTGAAAAATTTTTTTTGATAAATTTAAATTACTAATTATTTGAGTAGAGCATGATGAAACATGGAAAAGTTCATATTCATTGCACATTTAAATCATTTTTAAGTAAATATTTTACTTAAAGTAATTATTTTATTAATCATTAATTAGCTAATTAATTAATAAATGCGATCATTTAAAAATATGAAATCAAGAATTTGGAAATTAAAGCACTAAATTTTTAATGAGTAATATGTGTAAGTTATCTCTTAAGATTTACAAAGCCATTCAGATAAGTATGCAAGTATCAATAATGCAGACACTGAATCTCTCAGATAAAAATATACGAGTATTGATTCATGCAGATACTGAATCTTTTAAATCCATATACAAGTACTGATAAAAGCAGATACTGAGTCATTCAGATACTGAGCCATTCAGATAAATATACGAGTACTGATGAACGCAGATACATCAGAATCATTCAGATTCATGCAGGTATTGAAACACACCGATAAATAAAATTCGTATAATGGATCGTACGTTCGAATAACTATAGTTTAAATATCTATTAAGTAAGAATAAACTAGTGATAACTTTATATAGAGATTACACGTCATTGGTACAGTGTATAAGGATATAACGGTGATATTATGAAAAAAAGAAGTTATGGTAAAGCTTAAAGATAATTCGTGTGCACGGCTTTTGAATGATCAATACACATGTTTTTTCCATTTTTATTATTTTTTTTATTAGAAATATACTACTGTTCTTTTAAAAAGCACCCCAAAAAAATTTAATATTCTATTTTACATTTTCTAGAGTTTTGCCTAGGAATAAAGAAGGAAAGCGTGCTTCACCACGGAGAAGGACACTTTGAAATTTGAAAGGGCACTTACTTAACACTGTAAAAAAAATACCAAAATGTGTAATATTATGTATTTATAAAATTTGATCCTCAACAATTTTTAAATTACCCTCTTATATATTATTTTAAGTGTATATTTCAAAAAGTTATTCTTACACATTATTAAGATAGTAATTTATTTTTTTTTGTAGTTTATAAAAATAATTAAAGTCATGCTTAAAATCAAACTCTCTGTATATAAATTTCTTTTCAATAAACAGAAACCTAAAAATATTATTAATTGATAAAAAAATTTAAAGCTTTTTTATATAATTTAAACGGAAAATTATAATAAAATGAACATTTAAAAGTGCATGTTTTTTAAAAAGGTATTTATTTAAAAAATAATTTTAAAGTTTTAAATCACTTAAAAAATGCATCAATATATGAAACTTATAAAAATTGAAGTATTTGAGAATAATCCTAACAATGTAAATGTTTGTAATAACCATCAGAATTAAATCTATAAGCACAGCTAATTTTACCAGTGTGTAATTATTATTTGAAGAGTAATTATGATTTAAGGAATATGGCATTCCTAAATGATAGAATTGCCCTGTGAGGAATACATAACCAGGTAGTTTATTGTTATTTTGATTTCATTACACGGAATTTTTATTAGGACAATAAAAACCGAATTATATTTTTATTGTTGAACAGTTTTTGTATACTTCGTTTAAAAAAAATATGTATTTTAAAGTTATACGTACAAACATCCAGAAACAGAAAGATGTTATAAAAATATTTACGCGCCACTGCATAATAATAAAAAGGTAGGTCATAAGATTAGTCTTTCAATATTTTATTTTGTAACCGTGACAGAACAGCCGCCCAATTCGGGGTTTCCGACTACCAATGTTCAACTCCGTGGACTTGTAATCTTGAACCCGATCCAGAAGACAAGGAAGCTCCTGGATCAAATATTGGGTGAAATTTGCCCTCGTGGAGGACTTTTTGATGAAACTAACCAGCGTAATGGGGAGAGGAAAATCACAAAATCTCCCACAGTCAGCCTGGCAAGGGAACTCTAAGCCATGATCCGTATATTTTATGTCAGTACTCTGATCAGTACTGAGGATATTTTATGTCAGTACTCTGGTCAGTACAAGCCGGGAGTGGCATTCGAATTGACCAGTCATCCCTGGGATTCGAATATCATTGAAAGGCCAGCGGTCTGAGCCACCACGGATCAAAAATAATATTCAATATTTAAAAAATAAATGTCCTTGATTGGAAGTGGTTGTTAATAAGGAATTAAAAAATCATCATTAACAGTGATTTCCACGCCCTGCTTGCTGATGTTCCCTAACACTCATATGATATCTTATTTGGTTTGCTTTGAAAACCACGCTCGTGCCCCTCGCCACTAAGTTGAACCCATTTGAAATGTGGTCTAGCTTAAAATCTAAAGAATTTAAAATGATTATTAAAATTTTTAAGACTAATTCTTCTTTAAAAATTTTTAATTATTAACTAATAGTAAGTTATCGAAATAAATTTTTTTAAATGCAATACAAATTTTAACATGTAATAAAAAACTTAAACACCTTAAAACTTTTTGGACGTAAAACTTTAAGTATTTTAGCCACCGATTAAACTCTGAATAGTTTTTTTTATTCTTTATTTTTAAATTCCCTTATTATATTGCCAACGAAGAAAATACTGTAAATCAATCGGATTTTATGTATTGAGTTTTAGTCTACCCAATACTCTTGTGTAGCAATCTGTAAATATGTTTTCCCTGCTCGCGTTATGCCGACGCAGGGAAACCGCTTTGTCCTCAAAAAGCAGAAGTAAGAGTTAAGAAAATTTTGCAAATATTTTTTTAAAAAAAATGCTTATAAAAGGGCAGTAATAAATGAAATTTTTAATATCAGTGTCAACTTTTCGTTAAATGCAGTCATACATGGATGTTAACTATTCAAAGAGTTTCTAAACATTTTCCAAAGAATATTTTTACCGTATGATCA